TTCATACGTAATGTTTTGCTGTACGATAATATTTCATGTTTTCAAACGGTAACTATTTATCTGATTAAGTCTTGCCTCATTGTTTTATGATATCTTTTTAGTTACATAGCAAGTACGCTTTGCCAAGCAAGACATTAGGAATATCTTTCATGTGCTTTTCCATTCAAATTAGAGGTTTGTTTGGGACGGCTATAACATTTTATAAAGTTAGTTGGAAAGTTGTTGTGAAAAAAATAATTTCGGTATTATGATTTGTACAAATTAGTTTTTCTTTGCAAAAAATTCTAAAAAATAACAGTCAAACTAAATTATAGTTGTTGTCTGAAAAGAAAAATAGCCAGAAAACTATCCCAAACAAGCAAGATTATTACGTGCGGAGTCCTGATGGGTTCGGAGGTCAATCTAGAAGCGTCATGTCACCCAACGCACTGTGTATTGGGTAATGTAGTGCGTCCAAATTGACCTCCGGACACGTCCGGACACCGCCATAATAATTTTTCCCCAAACAGAACTTAAATGCTATTAAAGATATCACTATAGAGAACTATTTATATTTGAGAAATTTTAGATATACAAATTACATTAATTGTATAGAAGCAGACAATATGATGTTCATGTGACATGTTAGAGGGTGTTGATACAATGTTGGAGCAATTATGAACTTGAATATGTATTGTGTAAGCTCGTCTTATGATTTCTGTTTGGTTTATCTGGTGAAGAGTTTGTTATATTTTTCATTGATAGAATTAGTTGTTTTATTTGAAATTAAGAAGAGTTTGTTTGATTGAAATTTTTTTCTGATTTTCATTCAAATTTTTAAAAAAAATATGTGTGTCAAACTTAAGGTGAAAATGTTGGTCAGGATGCTTTAATTGTGGTCAAGATGTTTTATTTTGTGTTCATTGAATTTATTTGTTTAGGCGAGTGAAATATAAAGGGTAATTACTTTTTTAGTTTTTATATTGCTTTTGAAATAAATTTTATGGGTAAAAATTTATATTAATTAAATTTTATTTAGATATCCTTGAAGTCTTTTTTTTTCTGTTAAAATTTGGCATTAATTTTTTTTTAGTTCTTTATTTATAAAAAAATGTAAAATTAAGCTAAATTGGTATTTTTATATCTTTGAGTGGATTAGGCAGAAGAATGAAATAAATTACGTATAAAACGTCTGTCTTTTGATGACCTGATTAGAAGAGCAAATGTATTAGATCATATCTATGTTAAGAAATGTAGAAGTATACCTAAAAAGATTTGGTTATAAAATATTTGAAAATATATATATTTTTTAATTAAATTTATATAAGAATTTGATTCTTAATTCTATAAATACAACAAAGTTATATATATATATATCATATGTCCATGTACTATATGTGCATCTAATACTCTCAATGCTAACAATGTATCTGTCAATGCTATCAGTGTTATCAATGTATGTATGCATTGATATATGATTTAGCAAGATAGGATATCCAGCTTTATTGTGATGTTTTTATATCTTTTACCCCAATGCTTCTCAATTTATCATTAGTCATATTAATTATCACTTAGTTAATTAATTAATTATTATTACATATGGCTTTATTAAGTCAATAAAGAGTTGTCACTCTATGCCCGTAGTCTTAATCATCCATCAGTTACAAATTACAAGAAGGATAACACCACAAACCGTCTTTAAATAAGGGTGTCAATTTCGGGTCATGGGTCGGGTTTGGGTCGAACTCGGAACTAACCTGATAATGTTCGGGTCAACCCGAACCTAACCCGTTTTTACAAACAGGTCGATTTTTTGGATCCAAACATGACCCCCTTTGGGTTCGGGTCAACTTGACACGACCCGAACGAGGATGTCAACATGCGCGGCAGGACGCCGGAGGCAAGACGCGAGCGGCAGGACAGTTTGACCTGGAGGTCCTGGACGCCACAATGGGCAAGCTGGCCAGCTTGGCTAGCCTCACGCGGGTCTGATCCGCTGGACACGGTCATGCGGACAGACCTCGGACTCGGGTCCTTGCCTCCTCAGAAAATGTAGGCATGCAGGCGAGTGGTGCAATCGGGTAGGGGCAGGATTTGCCACTGGTTGACGGGCAGCAGCAGGCAAGTGGGGAAGGAGCGGGCTTTGCCATAGGCAGCGGTGACTCACGCGTCAGCTCGGTCAACGCCTCTGACTCCCGCGTCAACTCGGTCAACGCCTCTGCGGGGGGGGTCACGCGGGATTGGCCACAAGCAGAGTTGGTCACCCAGGCAGCTCGGTCAGTGGGTTAATCCGGGTAATTTCTGGGTTTCCTGGTCAACCCGAACCCAACCCTATTTCTGAAACTGGTCAAAAACTCTAACTCAAACTCGACCCGGTTCGAGTTCAGGTCGACCCGAACTTGAAATTTTTGTGTCGTGTTCGGGTTATGTTTTCAGGTCGTGACCAATATTGACACCCCTATCTTTAAAAGAAAGCCCGTCGGCCCACTCTCCTATATAGGGTATTACGTTTTAAAAGCCAACCCAAATTAATTATAATGTTGATTGACAGCCAACCTTCCTTTTATTGCAAATGCCACATTCATTTATTTCAAATGCAATTTGAACTGCAACATCTATAAAATGCAGCAAAATCTATATTTTATCTTATAGCTTTAGAAAAATCATAGCATTTATTTCACATAGTAGAAATCAAAAATATTTGTTGCTTGTTAGAATATATGCGGCGATATAGTTAGAAAATTTTCATCTCAACGTTGTACGGATATCCAACATACAAACATAAGAAAAGTGTAACCATAATTTTTTCGTGGAAACCCTGGAAAAGAAAAAACCAAGAGGTCTTGCCGAGTTAAAAGGATTCTACTAGTGTTTGCTTAGATTATAAGTGGCTAACTTGTCCTTGAAATTGAGGACGATCAGATTATAATAATCAACTCCCGCATTGAAATTTTGTTACAAACATAGATCAAGAATCTGGCGACGTTTGGTTGTCGGGTGGAAATTTAGCTTTAACTGATGATCGGGTAGAAATCCGGCGTTAGTAGCTGTCGGGCAGAACTTCGATGTCAAATGATCGTCTCATTGCCGGGTTGAAGTCTGGCGGTGATCGAGGAGTCTGATGGCAAAGAGAAAGATCAATGGTAAAATTGGAATGGTTTGAATGGACGGCGACGGCCAACATTGAATACCTTGATCGTGGATCATTTACTGGGCATTTCAAGGACTTAGCGATATCGAAATTTTACGATCTTGGGCTCGTTGTATTAGCCGAATCGAGCTACTCGATTCGACTATAAGCATGGCATATTTGAAAACAGTTTCGCAATCCAAATTATGGTTTGAATTTTCCAAATGCACTTTGGGTCCTTGATTTGGCTCGAATTGTGTTGAATTAGGCATTGTTGGGTTTGTATTTCCGAGTCGTTTAGTTCAACTGTAAGTTTGCTTAAATCGGAGTTAAGATAATATCCTATTTAATTTTTTTAAGTTTCCAACTTGATTTTTCTTCGACAATCGTGCCCAATCAAGATTATTTTTGATGTATAAGCGGATCAGGAGCAATTGCATCCATCATGAAGCGTGCGACAATCAAGGACATGAACAAATAAGAGTCAAGCCAAATTCAAGGAAACTTCAACATACATAAATTTTTTGTCACTATTGACTCATTTTCTTGCAGTGAATGGTCGAGCCAAATTCAAGACCATACCAACAGTTACTTATAATGAGATTTGGGTTAACCGTTATACGGTAGATAATGATTTTATCAATAATTTTTTTTTTATATAGTATTTAAGCCAACAAAATCTAAAATAATTTAGCTACATAAATGATCCGCAAGACATCTATTTTTTGTTAGAATATTTAGCTCAAAAAAATTAAAATTATACTGTTCTTAATTAATAGTCAAAACTCCAAACTAACCAATGAAATTGAGCTATCTACAGGACATTCTACTTTCAATAATGCAGATATGGGACAAGCCTGATTGGGCATGAATATTCTTCCCAGTTCCGATAAGCCTCCATTATTCAGTGGGCTCATTCTGCTTCAAAGCTACATAGCTTTTAATACTATAATCGGCTTGGCATCTCATAGTCTTCATTATTTACAAAAATAGCCTGTGCCAGCCAAACCATAGGCGATAGCTATCCAAAAACCGTCTAATTTAAAATAAAAGAAATTTATTACAAGGCGTCAAGGCGACCGGCCTGGAACAAGCACGCGGTGGGACCAAAGCAGACCGGGCCAGTCCGGTCGGATCAGGGCTTAGGAGATGCAACGAAGCGAGTACATGGAGGCGGCGGAGTCCATCGCCGGCGAGTCGTAATCCCGGTGATGGCGACCGCTCTCCAACCCGTAATCCATCAGCGGCCGTCGCTCCAACTCCTCATCATGATCGTGCACGAATTCTGGCACGTCGATATCGCTTTTCCTCATATACTCACCGAGAAATTCCAAACGGCTGACATACCTCAACTTCCCGTACAACCTGGCACAAAAATCCAAAAACGGAAAGTTCAGAAAAAAACCATATTCGAATAAAACGAGATCAAGCGAACCCCGAATCTTCGATTTGATGAGTGAGTACTTACCCTGCGCTGAAGAGAAATCGGCCGAAGGTAGCGAAGAAGAGGCGGGCCTGGAGACCGGGGTGAACGAAGTAAACGGCCTCCATGCCGTCCCTGACGGCAGCAGGCAAAGACTCGTAGATCGATCGGAGGAATGAAACGCCGGGGAAATTGTCCTGCCTATTCACCGACGTGTGCACGTACAACACGCAGAACGGCGCCTCGCCGATTTCCGGAAAGATCTTCTTCTCCAGGTAATTCTTCAGCGCCTCCTCTCCTTCCGCCCCATTCAAAACCCTAGCTGTCAACACCATACTAACTCTCAATACGAAATCTCACAAATCGAATCCATGGAAAAAGAATCGATCGGGAGAGAAATTTACCCGGGAAGAACTTGCCAATGATGCGGAGGATCTTGCGGCCGCGCTTGTCACCGCGGTCTTGAACCTTGAACACCTCCAACTTCTCAAGAAGAATCTCATGCTCCGTCGATGGCGACGTGGTGGGCGCGCCGCCGCCGCTACCGCTGCCACTGCTGCTGCTCATTATGCTAGAATTCTTATCAATTTCTCCGATTTCTATTGGTGCTTGGCAAGGAAGAAGGGGGGCCGGGGGACGAGCTTATATAGGGAGGACGATGCGAGCGACCATAGAGGATTGCAGATCGCATCGTACCAGATTTTTAAATAATTTATTTATTTTATAATTACCTTTGTTTTTATTTGTCGCGGAAGGCTTCTTCGTTGAGAGAATATTCGAAAGCATCTTCCCTTTAGCTACGGGCAAGGAGACGCCGTGTACGCGACACGTGCCGCCGGTACACTTCGACCGTTTGGGATCGTTTGATCTATTATATCCGCTGTTGGGCTCGACCTGCCTGAACAGCGAATAGAACCGAACAAGTACGCGTGGCATATTTGTATTCGATGGTTACCGTGTAATTAGTTTTGCCTGACGCTCGCGGAGTGTGCTATAACAGACGGTTGACAGTGAGGTTCGCAGGCGATACGTTGATGCAACGAAAGGGTGAATGCGAATGGAAGAGCTATTTTTTCGGAGCAAACCATTGGTGTAATTTTTTTAGGGGGCCAATTTGTTGGTAAAGAAATGTAATGCATTTTTTAAATTAATTTAATTGATTAAATGTAATTAATTGATTTTTTTTTTATTGTGATGAATTTAAATAGAAAATTCTCTCTCTTGCTTTCTCGATGGGGGCATCGAGGTCAATATATACGATAATATTGAGGCCAATAGATGCGATGACGGTAAATGTAACATGAATATTGATGACAAAGTCAATGTAGGGAAATATTATTTTGTGCGGAGGCCGAACGCTGTCCGGAGATCAACCAGAATGCATCACATCACATCTTCGCTCGATATTACGGCTCGGTACTACTCAATACCGCTGACGTGGTTGCACCAGATTCGTCTCCAAAAGCAGAGTTGCGTCCGACGTCAACACATAATAATTCTTCCAATGCATGTGAGGGTTGTAGAGCTAAGGATAGCAGTGGCGAGGATGACGAAGTTGAGGGGGCATATGTGAGGTTGATGTAACTCATGAATTTAAAATTCTTCAAATTTTGATATAATTCAGAGAAAATGAGCATTTTAAGTACTCAAAAAATCTCAAAATAAAGTTTATATTTACTTTATTTTAAATCAAACAATCATTTAATACAATTAGATCATGTCACAAACTTTAAAAAAAAAAACACTTTGCTATGATCTTATGTGGTCCTTCATCATGGTACTACCCTAAACCCTAACTAGAAGTTGGTTTTCTCTTCCCATCTTAATGATCAATAAAAGCAAAGGTTTTCAACCAAAAATGTTATATATTTCTCATATGTTTCTATCCCTACAATCAAATATTCATAAAAGCTCTGATTAGAAGATAATTCTCGTAACACTCATCAGGTTAAATGCACAATAAACTAATGGAGCGATCAGGGGTAGAAATCATAAGTTTCAATTAGTGGGGGCACAAATTAATTAATTTTAAAATACTCCTAAATTTTTTGGGTGATTTTTTTTCCTTTAAATTTAATATTTCATGGTGAGATAATCTTTTGATCTAACAAGAATATACATATTTATTTTTAATAAATTATTAAATTCTATATTCTATTAATTGTAAAAATCTACAATTATTTTATTTCACTTTAATTATTGAAATGTTAGTTATTTAAAAAAGGAATTATATATATATGTGTGTGAGAGAGAGATAATTTTAGAAATATTTATATTTAAAGTGATCATTTATTTCTTCAGTAATTTTATTCTTATTATGATATAGAAATGAGTAAATGACAAAAGTGTTTCTTCCTAAATTATAAACAAGTATTTAATTTATTCAATAATATTATCTTACCAATGTTTCTATTCAAAATTATAAACATGTATTTAATTTAGTAATACATTATGTGTAGAATATTAAGTATATGCATGCATCATGTGTGTGCATGTGATGTGTGTATGTGCATTCATGCATGCATACATGTATTTAATTTCATAAAAGATAAAGAACCATTACTAATTGGAAGTTTGTATTTAAGGTATGTAATGTCCTCAAAAATAGACTATTGACTTCAACATTAGTAAAGAATGTGTTACTTTTATTTTTATTTTTGTTAACCTCTCCCTTTTATATTGAAATTTGGTAGGGTTGCATACAAATCTCTCCTTTCTCCTAGCTACTTGGTTAAATAATCGTCATGTTTAGTGTTAAACACTCTCATCTAGTCATCTATGTTTGAAAATTGAACGGAGGACTTAGGCTTTGTTTGGAACTGCTTTCTAAACCCTAAACCCTAAACCCAAACTCAGATTTTTCAGATTAGGTTCGGGTCGGGTCATTTTTTGACACCCCTAGGTCTTCCTCTACCTTTCTTAACATAAGTCAAATCTAATACATTACTTTCCTAATGGGGTCATCAAAGGCTGTCGTATTATGTAACCAAACCATCTAAGGTGACTCTCTCTAATCTTATCTTCCACTAGAGCCACTACAACTTTTTCACGTATATGCTCATTTCATTTCATGTCTCTAAGAGTAAAGCCACTCATCCATCTGAGCATCCTCATCTCTGCAACACTTAACTTTATATAATGCTTCTCTTTTAATATCCAACATTCTACACCATGAAGCATTATAGGTCTCACCACCATCGTATATAATTTTTCCTTAAGTTTGATCATGACTTTTCTATCACACAAAAAGCTTGATGTATTCCTCCACTTCAACCATCCAACTTGAATTCTACTAATAATATCTATATCTATTTCACCATTACTCTCAACAATAAACCCAATATATATAAAACACATACTCTTATTAATGACTTGATCGCCCAAAGTCACAAACTCCCTACTAGATCTATTATTATTAAAATTACTCTTCATATATTCAATTTTTTATCTACTCAAAAGAAAGGCTTTAGACTCTACGGTTGCTCTCTATAATTCAAGTTTACCTTCAACTCTCTCTCTAGTCTTATCAACAAGAAGAATATCATCAGCAAAAACATACACTTCAGTACAATCTCTTGCAAATATCCAGTGAGAAGATCCATGGCTAAAGCAAAAAAGAAATGGGCTTAAGGATGATCCTTGATAAACAAATAATCTCAATAATCTTTCTTATAGAGTTCGTTAATGCTTCTTTATTTATCTAAATCATTCTTTTTGTGCCATTTGCTAATAAAGATTATTTAATAACATATTTATGTTAGTAAAAAAAAAAAAATTTTTTGCCTCTTTCATCGGGAAATTGAAAGTTTTGAAAGCTCAATCGCCATTGTAGCACTGAAGCAATAAACAATTGCTGAATTGCTTTATCAGTTACTGAAAGGCTCAGATGCAGCTTCGCAGTAGTTGCTAGCTCTCACATTATTTAATTCTTAGAATATTTTTTATTTAGTACATTCCATTTAATTTATACCACATTTGTGTAAATGCAATAAATATGCTCATCAACTATAGATGATGTGGGTCACCATATGGGTTGGCTATTCAATGCACTTCTTTTGGATTAGATTAATGAACAAAAATTAGTATAAATTATTTTCTTTAATATTTAAATATGATAGATTAAAAAATTAAATTATTTTGAAATGAATATAATTCAAGAAAAGAAATCTTTTTTTTTTTTTGCACTATGCTCATCATTAAATAAATTTAAGAAATTTTATGTTAATTTTGACTAGATAGTTTCTACACATTTTTTTCTTTAGGGCAAGTTTTTATTTATTTATTTTTTAATTTTTAAGCCAATAAAAGGGAAACTCGCACACATTGAGTGCACAAGCTTCGGGGTGCCAACCAACAAACTAAGATGAGCAAAGTGAAAATTAATAGTTTTAGATGTCATGGCCTAATAGACAATAACAAATGAATTGTAACTTGTGGGTGCCAAAATATTCTTGGCATTAGAGGGACGGCTTAATATCTTAATTTTGCACAAAAATTAAGCACATACACAAATAAAAGAGGAATTGCAAGAAACATCAAAGTTTTTATAAGAAAAACTTGTAAAAGGGAACGTGCCAAAATATTCTTGGCATTAGAGTGTAACTTAATTGAAATGATTACAATTGTACTTTTTATCAGCTACAAATGATGCTGTTCCTTATGATTAGAGAAGATGTTGATAAAATTTAGTACACACGACATATAAAAAACCTTTTTTTTTTAAGTGATAAAAAACATATTTCATGGATGAAATTGAAAGAGCCGTGTAAAATGGGAGTATTTTAAAAGATCATATAATGTTTTGCTATTTTCAATCTCCTTGGAGGGGGGAGATGACAGACTCAGAAGTTCAACGTACATCTTAGTGTTTATGTCAGGAGTTAGAGTTGGTGTCAATATAGTGCATCAGTCTCTTGCACAAAGAAATGCATTGATTGTGTTGATGATACTAGGTAACGTGGTTAGTGTGCATCAGTGTAACAAAACGGTGATGGTTAAGGTTTCGTTTAGGATGCCTTTTTTATTGCTTATTAAAGTAGTTTTCAAGTACAAAATTTTAATTTTAGTTTTAAAAGCTGCATTAAGAAACAATAAGAAAGCCGTCCCAAATGAAGCCTAAATGATCATAGTTGATAAACATGGATTTTTTTAGAGAAGCATGCCAAGTAAAAATAGCAAAAAATTGAAATAATCAATCATACTAGCCATATTTATTTATGTGATTATATGTTATTCTTCCAACATTTAGGTGACCTAATAATGTCATAATTAATCAATTTTAGCCTCGTTGGATTTATCTTGTCAAGATACTCTATTTGAATATAAACATATGAGAGTTGGAGATCATTTGATCATCCAATTAATATCATAAAATTTTTAATTACACTTGAAGTACTTAAACTAAGCTTATTCGAACTCGAATTAGATTAATTATAGTGTCGATGGGTTTATCTCATCTAGATGTTTTGTTAAATTGTAAGTTTGTTGAAATCAGAGTTTAAATAACCCTATATTTAATTTTGAAAATTTTCAATTTAAATATGTATAAGATTTGTGCTTGATTAAGCCGATTTTAGACGAAGTATTAAAGCCCTTGATGATGGTCAGTAATGTAAAAATAACAAAAATCAGAATATCTTGACTAAAATTTATTTATGTTTAATTTTAAGAATATTAAATTTATTTTAAAGTAAGTGTATTTTAAAGTTGATTGATTATTTATGCACTGCCCTCATGTTAAAGTAAATACAAATTTTTTTTTTAAGTTAATATGTTTTAAAATAAGAAAATATATTTAAAAAACATGCACAAAAAATATATTATTTATATATTTGATCCAACTTTTATTAATATCAACGGATAAGGGATGCAAGAAGATAATGTACATATCTGAATGAAATTATTATGTGGGCCAATTTTATGGGCCAACTAATCCCTTACTCAAAGTCTTTAATGGGCTGAGCGAGAAGGCCGAATACTTTGAATTGTTCTTTCTTGTTGGCAATTTTGTCCCGAAATCCAAAGTCATGTGTGAAAAGCATGGCAATATTAAATTGTTGATGACATCTTATTTATTTCATTCATATTTTTATAATTTCATGATCCTATCTTCCTTAGAAGATTTTATTATTTATTACTTTATCAACATAAAATTGATTTTTATTGATTTTTTTAAATTATAATAAATAAATTGTATACTATGCATTATTAATTATAGATTTTATAGAAATAATTATTTTGAGTCATCCTTAGAGTTTAGTTGTGTTTTATTTGAGTGAATGGAAGCAAATTAGCAAAGCAAAGTTGAAGATGTTTTTTATTTTTTAATGATCTAATTTTTGCCAAAATATTTAGTTTGTATTTAATTCAAAAATATAGAATTTAGTTGTAGAAAAATATTGATGATATGCTTAAAATAGTTAATTTGTGCCCCCACTAGAAACATATTTGGATCCACCACTATAGTTAAGTTTTAGGTTTTATTTGGGATAGCCTTTTTACTGCTTTCTAAGATAGTTTTGTTGTGAAAAAAATTTTCCAAAAAAAAAAATTGTGATCAAATGCTTTCCCAAAAAAAAACCGCCTTAATTTATAAGCATAGAATTCCGGTCATCTAACAAAATTCACATTAGCAACGTTTGGCATAGAACTATCGAGTTAGATTTATCATCCAAAGGAAGTAAAAGACTGATGTTGTTTCTAAGCTTGGTAGCTAGACGAAAGCTTCTTTTGGAGCAACTTTCTTATTACTTTCTAAAGCAGCTTCTAGTATAAAAAACTTCTAATTTAAAACAAAAAATTGCATTAGAAAACTGCTTTAGAAACCAATAAGAATGTTGTCTGAAAAAAAGTCGAAGACTGTTTAGAACAAAAATAGCTATTATGGGTCATAGGCGGGAGTGGGAGGCCCAATTGATGTGGGAACTTGGGTTGGTTGAAGAGTAATAGGTGTGAGGAATAAGAAAAAAGAAATGTGCCCAATTTAGCCTCAAATATGTAAAAAAAGATAATTTCAACATATTTCATACATATGAAGATTTTATTTCGCACTTAACATCTAAAAAAAAATAAAAAATTGATGCCGTAGAAAAAATTTATTTCACATCTATAACACATATAACTAAACATCCTCTGTGTCAATGTTTTGTTAAAGTGTGAAGCCAATAATTGGATTTTTCATTTAGAAAATGCAAGAAGGGTAAAGGAAGATACAATAACCTTCTCTTCTTCAAAACGGTAGAAAACATTAATATATTAAGTTGCGTACAATTATTTGATTTTTTCTTTTGTAGTAATTATAGAATTCAGGTGTTCCCAAATGTACAATTTTGATAAATTTGACTAAAATATAAACACTCCATTATATGGTCTATATTGATCTCTTGAACTGTAGATTGTTTATCAAACATTAATTTCGTTATTGATGTCAGAATAATCAAATGATCTTGAATTTGTTAAATTAAAATTTGGGTGATCCTTAATTTAATTCTAAAATTATTAATTCAAATATTGTCTTGAATCTTATGTCAATCCTATGAATTTTCTAAGAGAAGTTTCAGCTTTAATTAAGAATAACACTTTTACACATGGTTTTGAAAATCGGAACGGGTCGGCCAATTCTACCGATTCAACCGTGAACCGGTCCTATGACCAGTTGAATCATCTTGCAAAATCAGACTAACATCAAACCGGTGAAAACCAGACATTAAACAGTGAAAACTAGTTTGAACCGCTACTTCAACCGCCAACCAGTTCAATTAGTTTAATATAAAATAGTTTATTAAATATTAAATTTAATTTAATATTTTATCGGTTTGTTGTCCGATTGGATTTTTAGGACCTTGCTTTTACAAGAACATAACTATTCTTTTTTTTTACCAAAAATTTGTGATCATATGAAAATGGGCCAGGCTGAGCCTTCGGACAATACCCAGCGGCTTTTGCATCACTAGATTTCTAAATTCGAATAATTAATTGTGCATTCTTCAGTTGACATTTAATAGAATTACTCTCCCATACACACAGAACAAGCAATTGAAGACTGAAAAGACAAGAAAATGAACAGAATCAAGCTATTACAATGACCTGTAAACCTTAAAGATCATCAAAAGATTTGGCAGAGATTCGTATTAATCTATCGAGTACGGATTTATCGATCTGCACTGTACGAAGGATAAACTCTTCTCTCGGCTCCTGACATGGCTGCTACAGACAGATCAATTAATTCATGAAAAAGGAAGAAATATCATTTGCCTTTAGGCATACAAACTTAGCCTTATATAGATATTTCATGAATTCGTATATGTAGCTAAGTAATATAGCTCCATAGGTTGTAGATTTGAGCTGCAAAGGTCTACAGTTTGCAATAATAATGACCCGCCGCATTGAAATTAACTATGCTTTGCAGTTCATTGGCTGTATTTTGAACTATTACGTAGCTTACGAGGAGGAATAAAGACGCAGGAACGAAAGCAAATGATGAATTTTTTGCTTTTGTAATAAGTTGAGGAGGAGAAAGTCAATGGTACTTCCTTCTCCAGGTTCTATCTTTGACGCTGTGATGGAGGAGAAGCAGAAGGTGGGAGGGGAGATGGTGGTGTTTGAAGGAAAGCGAGGTGGTTGTGTGGAGGAGGAGAAGCAGGTGAAGGAATATCCTGCTCCATTGTTCACGCACAAGGAGCTCTTGGAGGAGAAGCAGAAGGTGGGAGGGGAGATGGTGTTGTTTGAAGGGAAGCGAGGTGGTGGTGTGGAGGAGGAGAAGCAGGTGAAGGAATACCCTGCTCCATTGTTCACACACAAGGAGCTCTGTAGTGATCCTGGCATCTTCGTGGAGGCCTTGCGTCGATTTCATTCTCTCATGGGCAGTAAATTCATGTAGTTATCTATGTAAATGAGCTTGTTTTGATGCGAATGCATGCGAGTTTTGTGTTAATTTTTTAATTTTTTTGGATTTGGGAAGGATTCCGGTGATAGGAGGGAAGGATCTTAACCTGCATTTGCTTTATGTTGAGGTCACTGAAAGAGGGGGACTTGAGAAGGTAATTAAGCGAAAGTTTGCTTTTTGTTTGATAAAAATCTTTCTTTTTTGTTTTAAGATTGATTGAGCAAGAAGAATGATTGTACAGGTGATTGTGGAGAAGAGATGGAGAGAGGTTATAGCGATTTTCAACTTTCCACCGACGACGACGAGCGCTTCCTTTGTGTTGAGGAAGTATTATTTGAGTCTTCTTCATCATTTTGAACAGGTTTATTTCTTTGGAGCGCGGGGGACTCTTGTACCTCCGGCCGGTGGGTGCAAATCTCTAAATTAAAATTTGTTTTTGATTTTTTTATTTTTGTTTTTTTGTAATTTTTTAAATTGTGTAATTGCAGAGGCATTGCAAACCAGGTCTCAGATGTGTAAGTTCGATGAAATGGCGCGGTCGGATTCCGGCCCGGCGATGAGGAGGAAGAGGGCGTTCCCGCCGGCGATTATACCAGGTTCGTCTTCTTCCTCTGTTTCTTTTCTTTTGTACAGTTCTTTGTTACCAGGTTTAGCTTTTTATTTTTATTTTTATTATATTATTCCACAACAGTTCAGTATTGTGATAATATTAATTATGTTAAATCTGGGTTTGGTCACTTTTATGAATCAGATTAAATTCAGAATAGGTTAATTAGGGATTAAATTGAGTATGGTTTGAACTTATTGTTTTTTAATCTTGAAGGTCTAATTAATTTATTTAATGCATTGCCAGTTTTTAATTTATTATTAGACTAATTTGGGATTATAAGGTTAGATTATGTTGATTAATTCTTAATTAAATTAATTAGATATTACTTATAATTAAAGTATGCGTCAATCAACAAAGTATATGGTGAGAAATAGCTAGTAATTGATTAATGATTAAGAAAGATGTTACCTTTGGGTTTGCTTAGAGTTTGACTATGTTGTTTAGAGTAAACAAATTATTTTATATGATGTTGATGCTGGATTGATTAGGATCTAATTATGTCATTTTGAAGTTAATTAGAGCCATCTAGAAGTTAGTTAAATTGCTAAGTTAGGAAATGATTTATTTGAATCTATTGACAAATTAGGAAAATAATTAATGAACCTAACCTATCTCTAACTAGTTAATGATTAGAATTTAAAGATAGATTCTTTTAAGGTCAATTAACTAGTCATTATATTTGTAACTTACAATAATTGAAGCAACAATTTGTTTGTTTTGGAAAACAACTATAACCCTCACCTTCTAAGTTGAGATTTAGTTCTTCATGAAATACATCAATTTTAATTTAGCTAAATTTCATGTAATATTTATATCAGGGTTTATTAAGATATGGATTTAAACTTCTTTTGAGCATAAGTCGGCTTAGTTAATAACCCCTCCTACTTGAACTTTTATTTGGTTTGGTGTAAGGATGCAGAGGAACATTCGGTCTGTACGCAAAATCGCGCCTATACCGAGGTGTATCGAGTTTATTCAAAAAACTCAGTACACCTCGGTATAGGCGTGATTTTGCCTACGACCGAATGTTCCTCTGCATCCGGTTGGAGGACGTAATAATTCTTCCTCCTACTCGCAGGAGAACACTTGAAATTAAAGATGGTTACAATTTTAAATTTAAGTTTAATAGTTTGGATTTTATTTAAACTAATGGGAGGTGTTTGTGGGGTATGGAGGTAGACTTGATCAAGATCTTATGTTGGTAACTTACAATAATTGAAGCAACAATTTGTTTGTTTTGGAAAACAACTATAACCCTCACCTTCTAAGTTGAGATTTAGTTCTTCATGAAATACATCAATTTTAATTTAGCTAAATTTCACGTAATATTTATATCAGGGTTTATTAAGATATGGATTTAAACTTCTTTTGAGCATAAGTCGGCTTAGTTAATAACCCCTCCCACTCCCACTCCCACTCCCACGAGAACACTTGAAATTAAAGATGGTTACATTGTTACAATTTTAAATTTAAGTTTAATAGTTTGTATTTTATTTAAACTAATGGGAGATGTTTGTGGGGTATGGAGGTAGACTTGATCAAGATCTTATGTTTCCATTATCTTATAATTAACAAAGATCTCAGTCTACCAACGTTTAAAGATGTAGGTCATAAGATTTAGGGAATTTCATTAGTAGTTATGGGTGGTCTCCTCTCAAGGATCCTTAGTTAACCAAGGAAACCTAATAGATATTTTTGTTTGTTATGATTTTGCTGTTTAATTAATTTACTGAGATTGTTAGCATAGGAGTTGTCCCAAATGTGATTTAAGTCGAGGCTTACAACAATTGAAAGGCATGGAGTTAATTGAGATGAGACTTATTACATTATTGAATTGGGCCGGCCTTACAACCTCACATTATGGGTAAGATGACTCTATAAGTTTATTGGAGATAAGGCTTTTATTTATTGGAATGACCGAATTAAATTGAGACATGGCTATCTATTTTATTTGCGAGTTGCCTAAAACGATTGGGCCTTATGACTTGGCCTCATAGTTACAATTTTCTTAGAGATAGGGCTCACATCCATTGAAATGACCAAATTTGAATGAGCCATTTAGTATAATAATAATAATAATAATAATAATAATAATAATAAACCTCAAAAGGAGGCAACAAGCTAATATTCTCGAAGAGAGAGCATCTATAGTCATCTTATAGTTAAATTAGGGATAGTGTTCTCTTATAAACTGTTATTTGACCCTATATATAATAAAAGTAATATGCACTTTTTATTGCATTAATATATTTATATGGGTGATGGTCAATATGATGACAAATTTGTTCGCCTAACAAAGTTTTTTTTCTCTTTCTATTTTTTATATTGAATTATGTGACAATAAAGATCACTAGCCTTATTTACAATTTCTTTCTGTTATTTTGAGCCGTGACTCTCTTTTTTAATACAAAGTTGTTCACTAGGATACTAGAGAATATCTTAGTTTGATTATGTTGAGAGGACTAGCCAAATTTAAGTTCTTTATTTCATCTTCCAGATAGAAATTTGGTCCCTGAATATGCCAAGGATCAACAGCTTCATGGATCTCCATACGTTGAATCTCCTAGCCCTTATGGGAGAAAGAGGCCAATAGTTGGTGAGCTCTCTTCTCATTAAGTACCTTTTTTTTTAATTCCTATTTTTGCTTCATCGGTTATTAGCCTCCTATCTTGTGAATTGTTAGTAAAAAAGTAAATAACCATGAACTATATGATACTATTGAGTTTGCAAGAGGAGGAAGAAGAAGATTAGAAAAGGAAGATTGAATTTGTTTTATTTTAACTACTTAAACATTTCATTTTTTGTGCTTCCTCTCTTTATAGAGAATAATCTTACAGTAATTAAAAAAAAAACAATTAACATTGCTCAAGTGGAGGGAAAACAATCTGCCTCCACTAACTTAACTAATCTCTTTTTCTAATGGAAGTAAGTAAAACAACTAAATAAATAAACAAATAATAACTAACTAATAATAGATAAAGTCCACTAACTTAACTAATGGCTCAAGATATGTTTTAGCAACATGCCACTCATTTTCTCAGGTTGCATCCTCAGCGAGAGCCCCATTCCATTTAATTAATACTTTTGACTTGGGATGATATTTATCTTTCTGAATGATGCGTCAATCTAAAACAATTTCAGGTTGGGGAAGAAGTTTAGAATCATCATTAAATGGAGGAAGTTGAGGTGAGATTGGAGTGATTGGACCCAATTGTTTTCGCAACAAACTAACATGAAATACATCATGGATTTGAGAAACGCCAGAAGAGCCAATTTATACTCCATTACCCACATTTTCAATAATTTTATATGGTCCAAAAAATGGGGGGCAAGTTTCGTTGAACTAGAAAAAGCTATTGAACTCTATTGTTATGGTTGAAGCTTTAAATATACATAATCTACAACATCGAAGGAAGGCTCACGTTAGTTTTGATCTAATTGTCATTTCATTCGATCTCGAGCTTTTGAGAGGGTGTCGTAACTCACGTAGAATTGAATTGTAATCTTGTAGGCATTCATTATGAGTGTTAGAATGAGTATTCAGATCGGGTTTGAGTCGAACCCAGAATTGACTCAGCTCCAAACGGGTTGATCCTAACCAGATTCGATTTTGTAAATGGGTTAAAACTTTTGACCCAAACCCAACATGCCGGGTTATTGGGTTGACCTGACCCGACCTGCTAACACGGAATTTTTCGGGTTGAGTAAGGACTTGTAGGCGCAGATCTGACCTTCTTGGTGCAGATGTGCCACGCTGTTATATAAGGGCTAGCGTGGCCAAGTGCTTGGGTGGTCGCGATGTGCGCTCACAAGCACGAGAGAGCTATTGCGAGCGTGGATCTGGGTCAATTCGTAGTTACCGAATATCCTTGGATGTTCATTGTGAGTGCCTGACAATGTCGTACAAAATCAATTTTTTCTATGTTTGCTATCATAACTTAAAACCTTTTGTCTCCAAGTACAGGTATCATGTACTTGGTAACTATGACCCGATCAATGAAGCTGTGTGTACTGTTACCATCTATTAACACTATGACCTTGTTGTTTCTCAGCATGTCTAGGACGCGTAGTCTTTGGGGATGATTTGTTCCCGCAATTGCATGAAAACAAATTTCAGGCATTTGCTCTTGATTCTCTAGTTCTGGGGGTGGGTTGTTTTATTCATAGAGACTTGAATTCGTTGAATCTTCGATCATGAGTAGTTGTGGAAGCTCACATCGATGACCTTGAATAAATTTTTATTGAAATAGTGACATAATCCCTTATTTTGTCGTTCCCGCGCCTCTTGGTTGGTGATTTGATGAAAAGCTTTTAGGAGTGGTGTTGGGGCTTGTATTCACACGTTGAGTTGGAGGACTACCTTTGATGCTATGGATGGGGGTTGGAAGAAGAATAGTGGATTCTGTTTCTTTTGTAATTGATTTCGTTCCCCAATCAATCAAGCTTCTCCTATTGCATTTGCGGTGGTGACTATTTGAGGTGTTGGGGATGGTGGTCATTATTGGTTCTGGAACTAGCAGGCGGTGGTGAATGCGAGGAGTCCTTCGGCATAAATGGGTTAACTTCAGGGTTGCTATTATGTAGAATTCGGGAAGTACATAAGGCTTGGAGTTCAACTAATACCTATTGAAGGGCTGAATTCAGTTGGTCAATGCTGGATTCATGCCACGCTAAGATGTCCGTGACCTCACTGCGTAAATCAACATTTGTTTTACTGTGAGTTTCCATGGTTGGACCTAGTGCTGATACCAATGATACGATTAATTTTGCGATAGGTTGAGAAGAGGATCATAAAAGGAAAACTGGATTGGTTTTATTTTAACTGTGTAACCATTTCATTTTTGTGCTTTCTCTCTTTATAGAGAATAATCTTTTCTAATGGAAGTAAATAAAACAACTAAATAATTTTACAAACAATAATTGACTGAAAATAAATAAAGTTCATTCTTCTACCCACGTTGCCACCTACCCTTTTGCCTGGTTTGCTAGCGGTTAGAATGGAATAGTGTTATCACGAATTACTATATGAACAAACCAGCCCTTTTTGATTTCTTCTAACATAGTTGGTTCTCTTAAACAGTACAATCCATTTCTCAGATTCCCAATGGCCATTTATCTGCAAAATCAAGCTCATTACATGTGGAAGGTTCACCTCAACATAGTAGTCTTGCAACTGGTGTGTATCTCCCTATATATGCTCTTGCTACTTGTCAAGGTTGATTGTAGTCAGTCTATTTGGCTGTCTAACAAGGTGTCTTATTTTGATTGATGTTATTGTCACACGAAGTAACATCTTGCAAGCTATTTAATGTTTTGAGAAAGACTTAACTTCTGGTAAATGTAACTAAATGTATTTTGAAGGATTTGGGATTTTTTAAGTATACTACATAAACTTTTGCATTTAGATGTATATCATCTTATTTAATTAACTCTTTATAATTTATTCCTTCTTTTAGTTGGTGTTAAAATGAAGATAATATCGACTTAATGAAGAATATTTTATCGAATCTATTCAAAGAATATTCCTCTTACTCGCTTATCTATTAAAATTTTAATCTTGTTTACTATGTTCTGTTTAAGAAAAAAAATATCTTGTTCTTTCTGCGAGAATATTATCCTGAAAAGTTTTTATTATAGAAACTATACTACTGTTAGTATTATAAATGCATTCTCCATCTGTTAGATTATTTATCGATTGTGTAATTGAAGAAGCCTTGCAATGCTTAATTTCTCTAAAGGATGTCAAGAATTATCATATTGATTTCACCTTTTTCTTTTCTTTTGGCTTCAATTCCCAACCTCAATATACAGTGCAAAGACCTCCTTTCAATGCGAAGGAATTTGAGGGATCATATCCTTCTGCTGCAAGTGGCAAAGAGACAAGCCGTGAATTCGACCTCCCTATGTTTTTCCTTAGATTTTTAATATGCTATACCTTTAACAAAAGTCTTACAATTGTTTCTCTTTCATGATTTAGCTCCTGGGTCTGCTCCACCTTCTGATGGTCTTGATAATTTTGCGGCTTCTGCTCCCATTCCTCCCACTGATGGAAGCATGCCTTCAGCAACAGGTTTGCATAAAAAACTTTTACTTAATTTTTGAGAGTTTAGATTCTTATTTGGACTTACTTTCAGAAAAATATATGAGAAATAATTGACAAGATGTTAGTTTTCTTTCAATGGAAATCTTATTATTTGCTTTTAGTAATACATGTCTTAGTAATTCTCTTTCTATCCTTTTGCTATACATGCTCAAACCAACAAAATCTATCTTTCTATTTTCTTTTCAATATGTGCTATTTCCACAATTCTTTGATATACTAGTTTCTCAATCTACATTAGTTAGTTTAACCACCCATTGATTTTAAGAGTCTGTTCACTTTCTATCCTTTTGTTATACATGCGCAAATTAACAAAATCTATTTTTCTATTTTACTTTCAATATGTGCTATTTCTTGAAGGTAAACTTGAATTATGGAGGTCAACCTTAGAGTCTAAAGGTTTTCGCTTGAGTAGATCTAAAACGGAATATATGGAGTGTAATTTTAGTAGTAATAGACCTAGTGAGGGGATTGTGACTTTGGGCGATCAAGTCATTAATAAGAGTACACGTTTTAGATATCTTGGATCTATTGTTCAGAGTGATGGTGAAATAGATGGGGATATTATCAGCAGAATTCAAGTTGGATGGTTGAAGTGGAGGAATGCATCGGGCTTGTTATGTGATAGAAATGTACCCCTCAAACTTAAGGGAAAATTCTATAAGATGGTAGTGAGGCCTGCAATGCTTTATGGTGCCGAATGTTGGCCTTTAAAAGAGAAGCATAATACTAAGTTAAGTGTGGCAGAGATGAGGATGCTCAGGTGGATGAGTGGCTTTACCCTTAGAGATAGGATACGAAATGAGCATATACGTGAAAAGGTTGGAGTAGCTCCAGTAGAAGATAAGATTAGAGAAAGTCGCCTTAGATGGTTTGGTCACATAAAACGGCGGCCTTGCGATGACCCGGTTAGGAGAGTAGATTTGACTTATGTTAAGAAAGGTAGGGGTAGACCTAAAAAGACTTGGTTAGAAAATATTAGGAATGACCTTTCTTTATTAGATTTAAACGAGAATTTGACTTTTAATAGGACACAATGGAGAAAAAGGATTCATGTAGCCGACCCCACGTAGTGGGATAAAGGCTTGATGTTGTTGTTGTTGTTGTACTTTCAATATGTGCTATTTCTACAATTCCTTGATATACTCATTTCTCAATCTACATTAGTTAGTTTAATCACCCATTGATCTTGAGAGTTAGGGATGCAATTTTTTTACAGAAATCATAGTGAATTTTGCAGCAGTAGGAATGGGTCGTAGCCATTAATTGCATGAATTTTATTAAATTCTTTTTTTTTTTCATGTCATAATCCTTTCTAGCTTCTCTTCTTTTTTTTTAATCTTTAATCGAAGTATGTTTCACCTATTTCTCAACAGTTATAACCTCAATAATTTTCTTTTTAGGTGGTACTTGTAATTTCACAGTGACTGGAACTATTGACGGCAAGTTTGACTATGGCTACTTTGTGACTGTAAAAATTGGCTCTCAGCTACTTCACGGTATACTATATCATGCCCATCAGCATCAAATAGGAAGTCCTCCTTCTGTGCTTAATCCCGACCAGCCAGTTTCTTCTCCAGTGAATCCAGTCTTCCAAAACCCTTCACCTTGCTCCTTTGCTGCTGCAACCACGGTAAATGCCAATTTATCTTATATGCCGGCAACAAGATCTGTTGGAAGGAGACGACGGCTTAAGAACCGTGACCCAGGCAGGCCGAAGCCTAACCGAAGTGCATATAACTTTTTCTTTGCTGAGAAGCATTTTGAGCTCAAATCTCAATGCCCACACATGGAAAGAGAATACAGCAAGAAGATAGGAGAGTCTTGGAATAAACTCACTCATCAAGAGAGGCTGGTATGTGTAGTAAATACGTTAAGATTTTTACAAATGTTCTTCACCACCTACCTTTCCCCATCTTAAAAATGCTAAATTTTCAATATTGATTAAATGTTTAACTTGGTGTTCTGTTTCTCCACTTCTAAATATGCAAAAAATAGGACATTTCTCATAGTTGCAAGATATTTCATACAATAATAAGATATTTCATGAAATGTAAAGAGTTTTTTTAAGCATAGTTACACTACTTTTGAGTTTAGGGTAATGTCTTATTTTTGGGAGAAACACTTTAGTCATGTCTTATTTATGGGAGAAACACTTATAAAATATTTTAAATATTATTTAGTGGTAGACGAGTTAATAAGTGGAAAAAATTTCGGTTCAGAATACTTTTAATTGAAATTTGGTCTGATCCCAAAGACATTGGATTAGAATTGAGATGATTTTAATTCATGGTTCTAAATCAAAAGTTTCATTACACTCATTTGAAATCAAATCTATTGCTTTGAGATCTATCATCACCCAAAAAGTTTTCATTAAATATAGGGAGCCGGACATTAATTTGCTTTCTTAAAATGCACCACATTGGTTTCCTCCTATAAAGTTTTGATTTCCAGACTTCAATTTATTTGTTTAGAAAGAATGAATGTTCTCTTTCACGTTAATGAAATTTTGATTTTGACAGCTCTATGAAGACTGTGCAAGGAGAGACAAGGAGAGATACAGAAAAGAGATGCAAATTTATAAGGAGAGCTTCAAATTTTTAGAGCCAAAACAGTCTGAAAGGGGGATTGATCTGCCGAAAATAGTTGTTAGAAGAGATATACAAGATTGTAGTGATACGATTGAAATTGCTCGTTCAAAGGAGATGGCAACTTTGGAGAAGGAATCAAGGATTGCTGAGGACAATAAGACCGAAAAACAAGAAATTACAAAAAGAGAGGCTGAAGATTATATTCAAAGGGTCAAGTTTGTAAATCCAGAAGAGATTGCAAGCTCTACTAAGAGTGCAAAGATTGAGAAATTAGAACATGAGTTAGGGAAGGAGGTTATAAATGCTGCAGTAGAAATTGATATGATGAAGACAGATGCAACAGTTGTGAATACAGAAAATTAATTAGTTTTAAGTTTCCATACAGCTTTTAGCAGTGCGTTGTATGAAGTACCAACATCTATAGTTACATGAAAAAACAAGCTGATTATAGTTTCCTGTAGGTGTATTAAGAGATCTTACTCTGTAATCTTTGATCCCAGTGATTGTTTAATTATAATTAAGTTTTAATGATTTGGTTTCTAGTTCGGTGCAAGTTCTGGGCCTTGATTCGTTATGCAGATATTTGGCTTGTTTGTGAATTAATGAGCTGAATATAAATATAATATTTATATTAGATTCTTTAATGAATGGAACATTTAGTTGTGTTCATGTACTTGATTTATTTGCAACAAATTAGCATTACTTTACCTGATATTTATATTAATGGGCGGTGGTAGAGAGGAATGGTTAAGGTGCAAGAGAGTATTGAGATTATGAGTGGTTCATAAAGTCAAGGCCTTTTATAGGCTTCATTATTTGTATTATCTTTGATTGAGGTTTCTAAGTTTGTGACTCCTACAAGGATTTATGTAGTTGAGTGTGTTTTTGATGTAATAATAATAAAGTTTATATGCATTGAATAATTTATGATAATAAAGTTTAATAGAGAAATTTAAATTTATTCTTATTCATTGAATAATAATTCAGATCAATTTGTTTTTATCCCTAATGGTATTAGTTTATTGTGAACTTTGTGTTTATCCAAGCAAAAGTAATATATACCATATCATTGTTAACAGATTAGATTTCTTTCTTCATATTCTCCGGATTCTGAAATACTAAAATCAAGACAAAGATGGTTCACCAGTACCCCATGAATTTGTATCTGTACTAACAAAATGTCATGTACATTTATTAAGAACATTAGGAACTAGCAAAAAGCTAAAAATTAACATCAAGAAATAAAATAAAAAGTTATTAAGAGTTTTAAATCTATTAAACTTTTTTAAGTAAAAAGTTGAATGTAATATAAATTTTAATTGATTATTTAAATTTTTATTCAAATCAACATTCTTCAGGCTCATCATGGTCAACAGTATTTCACCATAATTTTTTTCTTCTAAGAAGTAATCGAAACAAACGGAATCCTCTCCCCAGTAATTAAAAATTAAACCTTGCCAACATATACGTTAATAGAGAAAAACAAAGAAAAATTAATGACGAGATCGACAACAGTGTTTAGTAAACAATCAATCGATCAAGTAGATTAATTGCAAGTTTACATTTATTTAACACCACAACACTACAAAAGTTTTTCTCCCACTCTCCTTATTCCAAACCTCTTCAGAAATTCAAAACAAAGCTCTCCACCCGAGAAAACAAAACCAGAAAGACAAAGCAGGGCGAGGGCAACATACGTCAACTCGTATTAATCCCCCATCCCTCTTATTAATTCAAGCAAGCAAGCAAACAAACAAAGGCATTCGAGAGAGAGAGCGCGACAGAGAAACATACCAAACCAGCGAGCTGCCAATCAAGCCATCGGCGGAGCCTGCTTAGCAATCTCGAGCACTTTCTGCCACGATTCCCTCTTCGATATCTGACCCCACCACCGCTTCACATTAGCGTGCTTACTGAAAATCTCCTTCGTTTCCTTGATCTGCATCAGCAGCTCGGCGTTGGGGAGGTGAGAGAGATCGGCGAGCGTGAATTTGTTTCCGGCTAGGAAGGTGTTGTCGGCGAGCCTCTGGTCGTAGACTTTGAGAACCTTTTCGAGCTTCTTCTTGCTCTCGTCTAATGAGGGGGTTTCGATGCGGTTCAGATAGTCGGGGAGGGTTGGGGCGATGGAGAGGTAGAAGACGAGTTCGGAGCTCGGCGGGTCGAATTTCTGGGCTTCTGTTTCCAGCCATTGCTCGATCAGAGCTCGCTCTAAGGAACCTTCGCCCAGTAGTTCTCTGTTACCTTGATTTTTGAATTTGTCGACGACATGACGGCATATTGCTCTTGACTCTGCACATTGCATATTTATAATTAAATTAACCACACGTGCATGATTATTTTTTAAAATTAAAATTTAATTAGAAAATTTGTGTAATATAATATTAAATGATTATTATGTATCATATATATCTCAAAATAAATAAAAATTTTTAAAAATGATTTTGATTAAATTTATTTAGAATATTTTAATCTAATTTTTTTATTGGAGAAATAAATATAATATAAGGTGATTAGGAGGGATTTGAATATTATTTATTTTTTTAATTTATAATGGACCTCACAAAGTAAATTCAAGAATTTAAAATTTATTAATAACAAATTTTAATTATGATATTTTCATATAATTTTGAGTTTAAAAGAAAATAGTAGATTAGAATCGATATTTTGAGATGTCTATAAGATTTCAAAATTATTTTGAGATGAATTTAATGTATAAAAAATTAATAAAATTTATAATGCATCATTTTCGAATAAAATTCAATAATTTTAAGAGTATTATGAATAAAATTTTGATCAAAATATTCTGAGTTAGGGGTATAAGTGAGTCAAGTTGATTCCAGCTTGAGCTCGATAAATGACTCGTCAGTTGGACTTAATGTGCTAAATTTGAGCCAGTCTTGACATAACTCGACCGAGCTCGGCTCTATCGGGTACTGTACACTATTCTTTTTCATAAAAATTTGCAATCTAATATATTAGACGTGATTTCTCACCAACAAGGGCATCCTTTTCCTGATCCTGATAGGTGAGAGCTTCGCCACCAGGCTGATAACAAAAATTTAATTACAAATCCATTAGTTAATCAAACACATAAAAAAAACTTAGTATAATTACTGATGATTAACAGTTAATGATAATTATAATGAAGTAATCAACCTGCATCTTAAGACACTCAGGCATTCTCTTCTGTCCTCTAAAGCTATCCATCTTCACAAGCTGAAACTCAACCTGCTTTTCAAAGAGACAAGCAAGAACTCTCTGCACCTCGGTCGAAGCCGGCGACCCGAAAACCTTAACGCTTGCCATTGCTTCTTCCTTGATCTCTCAAGTTGTCTCTTGTTGTTCTTCTTCTTCAGTGGCAGGTTTGTAGGTAGCGAGAGAGAGGGGTTTATAAGGCCAGCATTGGAATTCCTTGCCTTCACCAGAAGAAAAACAAAGAGAAAGAAAAGGAAAATTAAAGAAGAGAGAGAGATCGATAAGAAAAAGATAAAGGCTTGGTTTTATTACAATTAAGTTAAAGAATAGAATAAGTAGCTTCTTTTTTGCTCTTTTGGTTCAGCTTGAGTATTAAGACTGTGGGGTTAACGTGGTTGCTGTTGTTTATTAAAGGAAAAAGAGGAGAAGACAAGAGGAGGCTGGAAGCATGGTTTGATTATCATGGATAAAGGCTGATTTTGTTATCAGCTGGAACAGCTTAAATTGTTCAGTAAATCGCCGGCGATTACACAGCTCATCTTGGCTTGTTGGTTGAGAGCTTATGCTTCAAACTAAGAGGTTTTGGGTTCGAGTCTTTGTGTATGCGTTGTATGTGTGAGTTTGCCTTAAATGGCTTAAATGTTCCAAAAAAAAAAAAAATTGCCGGTGATTGTGTCGGATATATAACTATCAGCATAATGTCCGCCGGAAAGGACTGCCGGAAATTCCGATGCCCAAATCGTCGGTGGCTAACCAACGGAAATTTCGGCAGTTCTTTGACCGTAAAAAATGCCACTAATATTTGATGAATTTTCTGTAGTGTTATTAGTTACTCAATGGTTAAGTTGGTGCAAATTTGTCAATATGAATCTTCACTATAAACGTCTATTGGACTATTTTGGATCATTTTTTTAATTTTAAAAGTATATTTGATATCTATGTTTCAATTGTTTTTTTTTTTTACTGTTGAAAGTTAATAAAGTTATTTTTTAAATAGGAAAAAAATATTTTTTTTGTTATTTTTTAAATGTTTTTATTATGAAAATCATCTTGAGCTCACCACCATCAACCTCCATCATAGCCCACCGCTATCGGCAACCTCCACTTTGTTGCTGAGTGTCGCCAAAAATAAAAATGACTCATATTTAACAATATTTTAAACATATTATTATTTTATATCAAACCCTAAACAAAATAAAATAAAAAATGAGACTATAATTTTTAGCTGTCCTAAAATTTCATTAAATTAGAAATGTAAAAGTTCCTACAAAACTCTACCATGATGATATTGGCATCTATAATAGGACAGTCATTAATTTAGTAAATTTGCATAACTTTTCTATGGTATTTTGTATGCTCATCTTTTTGTCCTCTAATTTATTTTTTTCTCCATAATTGGAATTAGATCACAAGTAATTCTCAAGGCATAATTAGCACATAACCACAATTACATTAAAAATGCTCTCCACACTTTTTTGGTTCACATATGGACTCCCATACAATTCGGGTCATTTTATTTTAATTTATTTAATTATTTGTTAACATACTTTATATTGTAATTAAGAATTTAGTAATTTACATAAAATACATGTGAACATTATAGAATATGTAATATATATAATTAGTTGATTTTGAGAGTGAAATGTTTTAAATTTTAAATTAATAATAGATATTAAATTATTTACCTTATTACAAATTTTAATATATTAATTATTAATCGTATAGGTTGGTCTCCTCTTCTCTGTTACAAGGACCAAATTACCAGCTTAATTTTTTTTATAAATTACCAGTTTAATTAATCAGACTGCAAAGCAAGATTTAAGGACGATAAAATTCTCTTGGTCGGTATAAAACCAATGATTTGTGATGCGAGCTTGTTGGCTTTAATTGTACGGTCGTGATTTGATTTGTTTGTCAGGTGATAAAAGAAAAGCTTTCAAGTGTGTGTATGCAAAGGAAGAGATATTATTCTGTGCGGAGTCCGAACGTAATTTTATATCCGAACTGTGAGTGTACAAAATATATATAATATACAATATAATTGGAATTACGTCCGGACTCCACACGTAATAATTCTCCTACAATAAGAGGACTTGGAATTCAGATTATGCAACAATGAATAGATAGTGCATGTGCCCATGAAACAACACATTATGTGCATAATCTTTTCTCATTTACTCAAATCATAATCATTTTTTTTTTCTTTCATAACAAATGAGCCGGCTCTTGAGTCAGATCAAACTCATATAATATAACTCAAGCTCAAATCAGAGCTAGCTTGAGCTCGACTCATTTATCCAATATTTGGCAAATGTTAAGCAGCAATTATGATTCATCAATAACTTCAAAATTTAGTGTGGGAGAGAGCTCAAAACTAAGGTTTGAGAAAGCTAACCTAATTTCTTCATTTATACTCTGATATATCCAAGTGGAAACTATTTATAGCAATACAATACTCCTAAAGCCTCATAAGTACCTATTTGCTGCTATAGTATTTGCTTTCTTATAAACTATAGGGCTCATTAATCTAATCGAGACAGATTTCTTTTATAAAGTAATAAAAAAAATGTTCCAAATAGTTTCTGTAATGAGTTATACTTCTTACTATTTTTCGAATATTTATATTTAACAAATAATTTTACACCGATCTAAATATACAGTCCAAGGGAACAGAGTATGATAAGTTGGAAGCCAGATGATCAGAGCATATACATACAGAATCAATGGTTCCTCCTAAGGACGGAAAAAAACCCACCACCAGACTTCTCCTTGCGCCGGTCTTCAGATTCATCTTTAACCTGTTTGAAAGTTAAAAATTTTCAAAGGGATTTCAGTAGAATAAATATTTACATCTGAATTATACCTCCTTGGCTATGAGCTGGAGTTTATCCAGAATTTCAGAGAAGTCTGGCCGCAACGCAGGGTCTTGCTGCCAGCATTTCTCAAGCAGCTCGGCAAGCTTGAGATTCGTATGCTTCGGGATTGCAGGCCTCAATCCCTGGTAGGAAAACAGAAGGACCTCCCGAATTAGAAAAGCAACTGCTGTCTCATAGGATAATAGTATACTAATTTTATTTATTCAATCTTTAGGTTAGAACACTACATGTTGAAAATCCAGATGAAGAGGATTAAGATTTAAAGTAGTTCAAAAATCAATTGTAACCCTGAAGTCAAAATCCATTGAAAAAACAAAATTTGAAATTTACGAGTGCTATTAGGGTTGCTAACGAACCAAACCGAGCCGAGACGAGTATGTACGTGTTCATATTTGAGTTCATTTATTATCAACTTGTTCAAGTTAGAGTTTGATTTGAGCTTTTTTGTTTGTGTTCAAGCTTGTTCATTTAAATGAATGAATGTTCATGTTTGGTTCATGTTCGGTTCATTTCATGCTTATCGAGCTTTAAACAAACGAGCATTATCGAGTTATAAACGAGCTCTACTTATAATTAATTTATGCACTAATTATACTATTAATTATTTAATTAATTTACTTAATTATTAATATTTAAAATTATATTAATTAAGTTAATCAATAATAACTTAGTCTTGTCTACGGTTTGCCTTTCATCTTCTCTTTTCATTGTTGCTGTTCAACTTCGTTGCTTCGTAGGAGGTGTAGAGATTGCACGCATCGCTTCTTGGGCTCCTTCGTGGTTGTTCGTCTTCACTCCTTTGATGACTTTCCCTTCATGTCGGATAAGAAGTTATGACATTTTGATCGGAAGCAACAATGGGAGCTCGCTGGCTATGAACGTAACTTTCTACCTTTTGCACGCTTCTTAGGCCAAATCCCATAAATCCGGCAAACCTAGGGATTTAGTAAATCCGGGATTTTAGCTATAAATCCTTAAATCCAGGATTTACCCATCATCGGAATTTAACGCGCGCACAAAAACCGTTTGGCTAGATTTAGCGAAAATCCGACTTAAATCCCATTGTAAATCCGATACCAAACAGCCCCTAAAGTCAAAATCCATGAAAGGAATCAAAATTTGAAATTTGTGTTATTAAGGCTGCAAACGAATCGAGCCGAGCTGAGTATGTGTGTGTTCATGCTTGAGTTCATTTATTATCAGCTTATTCAAGTTCGGTTCGAGTTTGATTCGAGTTTTTTTGTTTGTGTTCAAACTTGGTTCATTTAAATTAATGGATTTTCATGTTTGGTTCATGTTTGTTTCATTTCGTGCTTATCGAGCTTTAAACAAATGACCTTATCGAGCTATAAATAAGCTATACTTCTAGATATATATTAACTTAACAAACGAGCCTTCTAACAAACAATTATATCGAGCCAGTTCAAGAACACATCTAGCAAAATTTTTTGAACTATAAAACAAGGTCGTTCACGAACATATCTAATGACTATTCTTGAGCTATCAAATGAACTCGTTCATGAACATATCTAATTAGCATTTTCGAGCTAGCCAAATGAGCTCGTTCACGAACAAAGGATCTATAATTCATCTTATATTTATTCAGAGAGCGAGTTGTTCCTAATTTTAGGCGGATGCAAAAAATAAAAATAAATTATTAAATGATTTTAGACGGGATTAATAAAAATAAATTAATAAATTTAACAATATATATTTTTTAATATTCTAATATAATTCTAATCGAGCTTCTTAACGAGCTTGTTCACGAGTGTTAAACGATACTATTTATGAACATAAATGAACCGAACGTCAAGTTGTTCAAGCTCGTTTATTTAGCTATCTAGTTTTTATCAAAAGTGTTCAAACTCGTTCGTTTATCTTATCAAACAAACATGAACAAGCTCTTACCGAGCCAAGCCACGAGTAGCTTGTAGAACACTTGGTACATTTGCAACCCTAAGTGCTATTGTGTTCCTCATAAATGAAGGAATCCAACTTGTCCAATCATGGCGAAAGGTAGATAAAGGTTTATCAAGATGCCAAACATAAATGACTCACCGGTCCTAAAAGTTGCGTCAAGACTAAATTATGTCACCAGTCCAATTATGGCATCACATATAAGTGAATCGACATAATTTAATCTAGTGAAAAACACATAAGAATTGATTGTCTAAAGTTTTTATTAAATTTCCATCTTGGTATATAAGGATTTTGAACGATAAGGCTAGAGATTAAAGGACGCGCTAATTAGAAGAAAGATAAATATTGCACATGGCAAGGATTTGAAAAGAAAAGAAAACTATTCAAATAAATTAGAGAAGTTTATGAACAATTATTTGCTTTGGAAGTTAAAAATAGGAATGTCGTGATGGGAGTAGGGGATAGAGAATTGAAAGAAGAATATTTTAAGGTGAATATAATCAGTAATAGGGTGATTTTTATTAAGCTAATTATCCATATGAACATTTTTGTACTTATTTACACACCTTAAATTAGATTCAAATATATTTTAAAAAAATGATTAATATTTTTTGATTAAATGAAAATGAACAAAAAATTGTTGAAGGAACAAAATGTATGTTGAAATAGCACCAAAAATAAATACTACTAAAACTTAAAAACTTCATAGCAAAGCCAGAAGTCTTGCAAAGATAAAACTAGACGATGCCAAATCGACTTAGCTTTAGAAGATGTATAAAGATGCTTACAAAATTTATTTAATGGTACCTTGAAAAATGAAAATTAAGGAGGTTCAAATGATAAAAAGAAGCGCTTCGACACAACATGTAAAAATAAAGTAGATGTTTAGCCTTGCATAATTATAAAGGAATAAATGTATGAGTTATATGGCTGAGAAGGTGATTGAACATAGTTTTAGAATAATTAAATCAATATAATGAATACCATAAAGATTCACCATAAATGTCAAGGAAATTAATGAAAAAATAAAAAACAAAAAATCATCCAATTATTTTTTATTGATCTTGGGGAGATATGATTAGGTACCATGAGGATTGAGTGGCACACATCCAAAAAGAGAAGTGTAAAAGTTGGGTTGAAGCATGAAGGATGTAATAACTCAAAAGCTTAAAATGAATTTGATTGAAAAACATGAAAATATGATCCAATAGGCACTGCTGCAGTGTTGGGCTGATAAGCACAATGGCATTAAGAGCTCTGTGGCACTAGGAAACACCGCTGCAACATTGAAGGCTCTGTTCTACAATAACTTTGCGGGTGGCATGCGATGCAACGATACTGGATCTTGAGCGTCGTGACGCCAAACACTAAAAATGATTTTTTTAATATTTTTGGTTTAAATATCCCCGCCACCCCACAACTCCTCACCTCATTTCACATTTCTTGTTAGGGAAGGAAAGAAAGGAGAAGAAGAAGAGAAGGGAAAGAGAAGAAGAGAAGGGAGAGAGGAGAAAAAGTCTTCCGGAGAATTTTTGTTAGTAACTTTTGTTACAGATTTTGTTCTAACTGATGTGTGGGCTCCGAAAATTCGGCCCCGGCCTCCGCCGCTTTTCTTTTTATTCGGCGAGTGAGTTTTAACGAACTAAGTTCCGGGATAAATTTTGGAAGGCAGATAGGTTTGTAGATAAGACACTACCCAGAGATTTCGCCCTCATTTTGCAAGGACTTTATGATCTGAGTTCTGGTTTCCTATAGGCGCAAGCCCCTATAATTAATTACCCCTCTCGGTCATGAGAGAGAACTTTTGATTAAGGCTAGTCGTCAATCAGATACGTAGAGATACGTGTTATCTGGCATATAGTAGCAGCAATGGGTTTAGGTATTTGAAACGTTTGGAGGTTTGGGAATTGAATTTGGAAATTTGGAAAGTTTGAAAGATTTGGAGATTTAATATTTAAAAAAGAAAATTTCACCATCTAGTACTTAAAGCGGATGGTGGGGGAATGGATGATGGGCCCGATCAAGATCCCATGGTTCCGTCGTCCCGGGCCATCATGGACCCTGGTCTACTTAGTCAGAGGAGGTAGTCGACCCAACCTAACAGAAGGATCCTTGTCAACAGCCATGTGTTGCTTCATTCAAGGGGACCTTGTAGACCTGGGGTGAATATTTGCCTAAGGGGACAAATTTGAATCCACCTTAGCTAACAGAGGGTTTTGTATCCTATCAATCATATCCTATTAATTCATATCTCAAGAATTTGATGCCACTAAGGAACGTATTGGCTATGGCCATAACCGATATTTCGTGATGCCATTTGGCGGCAAAATCACTCGGTTCAGAGGACACATGGTCATAACCGTTTACCTGCAGTGCCATTTGGCGGCAAGCCGCTGGTCAGAGAACACGTACCACATCCTTACTAGCAGGAGACTGTTTGAGAATGGATCATAGTGATATTTTCGACTAGGCATTTAGCTCTTTGTGAGCTAGAGTTTATTTAAATTTGTCCATCCCGACAGACTGTTGTGGAGGGTGGGATGGATAATTTCATTTTTAAATATTTTTTGAATTTTTGTGGAGTTTTGGATTTTCATGGGCATTTGAAGTATTTGGAATGGAATTTTGAGTACTTGGAATGGACCCCTCCGGTTGAGATTTATTGTTCAACGCGGCCATCATCGGGGTGTTTAGGATTATTTTTCTTTATTGATTGAACCCTGTTAACCCTATCAACTTGACGATGGGGGATCAGGTTTTGTAGGCTTTATGCCCTTGATATTGAATTCTCGTTGTTATAGGCATTGAAGACCTAATATGAATGTTTTAAGACAAATATAACGGTCGCCACAATCGTATATTTGTTTGAAGGTTTGAACCCCGTCGACTCCTATTGATCCATATAGAAGAATCGGGTTCGAACTTGAATTCATTTACTGACCCGCGCAGCATCCCTAGACGTCACGTGTGTACCAATAACACGCTCGCTGGGGCCCATGCGGGTGTTTGGAGGCATTTTATAATTAAACCTTGTCGACTCCTTTTTACCTATTAAGGAGGATTGAGTTTAAATTTAATAACCCGCGCAGCATCCCTAGATGTCACGTGTGTACTTGTAGCACGCTCGTCGGGGCCCATGAGAGTCGAGAATTTCATTAATTGGACGTATCCCTTGTGTACCTATGTGTATACAAACTAAGGT